TGAAATGGTTGATCTGATCCATAACTCACATGCCTAATCCCTTTAGCAAATGTCTATCCAGCCAAACCATTGGCCCAGTCTCCAGAATATACTCTGTGGATAGGCTGAGCATTTTCCAAACTGGTTTCTTTTTGCTTAGCAGTTCCTTCCTCAGTTTCTTTCTTTCTTCTGCTATCTTACAGTAAGCAGACAAGGCAAGCAAGGCTGAACCTTCCATACTTCCATTGGAAATTGCAACTACATTTCCAAGTTTGTAATTTTTAAGTTCTACCTTTCACCCAACATAACACAACTTTTCCACTTTGCACAACAGGGATCACCTTTCCTCCAGTGACCAATACCATGCTCCTCATTTACCTCCGAGACCTTGCCAGAAGTAGATTTAGCACATGTAGCGATACTCTGTTCTTCATTTTATATATATATATATATATATGTATATATATATATATATATGTTATAGCATATGATATATGATATATATGTGATATAGTCTATGATGATGACTCTCTACTTTTCTCCTCCCCAAAGCCACTCCACATCCTAAGCTGTTTGTTATAGAAGTGCTGTACTTCCTAGTTCCAAAAATTTGTATTAGTTCCCTTGGACTGCTGTAATAGAGCCAACAACTGGGTGATTTACAACAACAAAAATTTATTGCCTCAGGGTTCTGGAGGCCAAAAGTCCAAAATCAAGGCACCTATAGATCTTTCCTCCCTCTGAGACCCTCCCAGGCTTCTTCCTGGTGGCAGAGTTAATCCTCAATGGCCCTTGCCTTGTAGATGCATTAATCCATGTCTGTGCCTCTTCTTTTTTGATAAGGGCACCAGTCCTACTGGATTAAGGGCCCACTCTACTCAGTAACACCATATTACACCATAGTAATTACTTCTGCCTTAACCCTGTCTCCAAAGTAGGTCTGTATTCTGATGTACTGGGGTTAGAATTTCAACATACCTTTTGGGGGTAGAGGGGAGATACAGTTTAACCCATAACAACCACATCAAGTGGCTTACTTGGTTTGTTATCTTACTTTAAGTAATCCTTGCCTTAGTACCTCTTTTGTTGTTTAATATTTATTTTTTATTATTTGGCTGCCCTGGGTCTTTGTTGTGGCATGCAAACTCTTAGTTGTGGCATGTGGCATCCAGTTCCCTGACCAGTGATCAGTCTGGGGCCCCCTGCATTGCAAGTGAGAAATCTTGGCCACTGGGCCACCAGGGAAGTCCCTTTCCTCAGTTCCTTCTTAATTACCATTTAATTATTATAAATAGACTGGAAAGCAGAATAATTTCAGATGTTTGCATACCTTCGAAGTCTCCTTATCAGATATTTGCAGATGAAAGCCCCCCCCCCCCCATTAGCCACACTGTGTGTCACAAAGAATGTATGTTCAAGTAATACCTTCATTTGGGTTTTTTAATTAAGCTGCAGCTGTTTATTTTATTAATCATATATTGTGGTTATATGAAATTTCCAATTCTACAATTCAGATGACTAGCTTAGTATTTGCTGCCTTAGAAAGTTGCTGATTTTTAGAAACATTTTCATTTTGAAATTAGATTGTTGGTTTTCAGTATAAATAACAGCATGAATTTGACTTCCTGGGAGACAGGGACGAATAATCATGATTCTGTGTAAGAAGTCTTAGGGTAGTGAAATATGAAAGAGTTCTGTGCTTATAGACTCCTGACAACTCCCTTTAAATATGAACTTAGCATTGCATACATTATATATATTGCATAAACAATGGGTATACTCTTAAAAGAAACAGTAAGAAAAGCCATTTCTATTAGTGTTTTGAATTCTTATCCAAAATAGCTTGCTTGAGAGTTATTACCTGTTATTGCTTTTTGTGCCAATATGTAGTCTGTAATTTCTTTGTTCCTAAATGGGATTGTTAATGTCTTCCATTCTTATATGCTAGTAAAGTCACATTGCACATTCTATTAAATGTTCTCATGTAATCTTTAGGGCTTTAGATGAATGTGTTAATTGTCACTACTGACAAAAGTAGATTTTCTGTATGCTTTTAAAGTTTACTTCAACTATTTTTGACTCTGGCATTGTGCCCTTGCATTATTTTGGGTATTTTATGCCTGAATTTCTGAATATTTAAAATTAAAGGTTAAACACACACACACACACACACACACACACACACACACACATGTTTTTAAGGAAGTCTTGGAGCTTATTTTTTTCTTAAACATTTTATTTTTAGATAATTGTAGATTCACATCGATCCTGTGTATCCTTTACTGTTGCCCTGATGGTAATTTCTTGCACAACTATAGCACAGTATAGGAGAAGAGGATATTGACAACGATACAGAATATTTCCACCACTGCAAGGCTCTGTCACATTGCCTTGTGTACCTGAACCTACCTGCTTCCCTCTCACTGGCATTTCTTCCCTTAACCCTGGCAGCCGTTAATTTGTTCTCTGTTTCTATAACTTGGGACATAAATTCTTGCACTGAGTCAGAGAATCAGGTGAGCAGTGGATCATGTTGTTTGTGTACAGAATTCAAGACTTCCAGGAGAGAGGGATAGGAAATTAAAATGTAACACAAAATTCTTGGATGCCAAGGCAACTTACAGAATCTATATTGTCCACTCCTTTTTTTCACAAAACAATACTAGTAACACTGTATTCAAATAAGAGAGTTTCTGCAGGTAAGTCTAAATTTCATTTCTTCCTTTAGTGAAAGGTTGCATCTTAAAGCAAAATAACTTCAAATATCTAATGATCCTCATTTTCTGTATTTCTGAGCCAGGAAGACTTAAAAATGACTCAAAATTCTCTTTTTACAGGCATGCCTCAGAGATTGGCGTTTCAGTTCCTTTCCCCACAAAAAGCGAGTCACACAAATTATTTGGCTCACCAGTGCATATAAAAGTTATGTTTACACTATATTGTAGTCTATTATGTGCAATAGTTTTGTGTCTAGAAAAAAGTATATATTAGAAAATATTCTATTGCTAAAAACAAAGTTAACCATCATTTGAGCCTTCAGCAAGTTTTATTCTTTTTGCAATAGTAACATCAATAATCACTGATCACAGATCACCCTAATAATGAAAAAGTTTGAAATGTTGAGAATTACCAAAACATGACACAGAGATATGAAGAGAGCAGCTGCTGTTGGAAAATGCTGTAGGAAAAATTGATCGACTTGATGCATAGTTGCCCCAGACCTTCAATTTGTAAAAAGCACTTTTATCTGCAAAGCGTGTTAGAGGAAAGTGTGATAAAGCAAAGTGTAATGGAATGAAGTCTGCCTGTACTTAATTAATAATAGAAAGCAATGATGTAGATAAATAGTACTCCATTCAGAAGGATAATTGGTACAATTTGCATTCAGTGTTTAGGATGAATTTGCTTTGGATGGCAGAATGGTGAGCTGGAAGGCTTTGTGGTAGGATCAGAAGTACTGAGGTAAGGAGGCTCTTGGTGACTTTGCTTCGTGGTTGAATAGGAATATTCATTTGAGTTGCAGTGGAGGAGAAACCTGGATATCTCACTAGTGGAGATAAAACTTAAGAGGCCTTGAATGCCAGGCTCAGAACATTAGACTTTATTTTAAAGGCAGAGCAGAATACTATACTGTATTGAACTCAGAAATGAAAGATTATGAGATATTTGAGGGAGATTAAAGTGACAGCTATGAAGATGAATTGGAGCTCTGAGAGACTGCAGGCAGGGAAATTAGTTAGCTTTGTTATACTAAGTTTCAGAGTCTGACAGTGAAGGTGTCCTGGTGAAACGATTTATGCAGGTAGGTGAAGAGCTAATTGTAGATGATGACAGATTGGATTTCGAGGATTCGAAGCAAAAGGGGGGGATTAGGAAATCTTGATTGTGAATATAGAAGAACAAAAGGATTATCATAACATATATAACAATAGAATTTTTGGTGGAAGTTGGAGAAGTTGCTTTTCAGCATATTAGACTATTAGCCATGTCCTGAACTGTTTTGTTTTTTCATTCTTCTTGAACTTTCAAGTCAAGATTGGAACTCTGTGGAGAAAGTTTTGGGCTGGAGGTTATTAAGAAATTTTAAATTAATTTGCATAGAGATGATAATTGTTTTCCCAAAGTATTGAAAGATTTACTTTCAAGGCTGTTGTTGAGTAAACCAGTCTATTGCCAGGTGTATTAGGGATGATTAAGGTACATCTTTTATGGATCTTTTATGGATCATCCTTAAAAAGGATGATTTTAGTTACATCTTTGAGACTACCTCTGTTTCACTGAATTCTACCTGCCTGGAGTATTAGTCTGGACACACTTTAACCTGTGTGAGGTCTTTATAGGAAACTTCCTAATGACTGCTAACTATGTATTCATGAGAATGGAAGTTCTAGTGTGTTCAAAATAATCTTTTCTTTAAACTTCTTACCTTAATACTGTTTTTCCTAATGGATATGATTGTAGAGATGATGCTGGGTGTTTCATGTGATATGATGTAAAAGAGACTGTTTATTTGCTCCTAATTGTTGGTTACTTTGTGAGAGTGTATTTGTTAATAAACACTAAGGCGATTAATAAGGGTCTTGGAGAAAATTTATATCAATCTATTGGTTAAATTATTCTAACCACACATTCATTAGCTACTTTTATTCATTGCCAACCTAGATTTTCTTTTTTATAATATTCAGTGCAGCAATGCATCCTTGTGCTGGGAGGGTATTCCTTCTCTGCAGGTATGCTTTCAAATATGTGCTCTTTCCTTTCAGTTGTTCTTGATAGAGTTTCCAAGAACTGTACAATACATTTTAATATCTTACTCTCATTTATAGATGTGAATATACAGATTGTCACCTCCATTCAGGAGAAATTGAGTTTGTTACTCACTGAATGTTCGAAAATATAAAGCATTATTTTTAATTATGTAGTAACTAAGTATTCATGTATGGCACACTCAGAGAACAACTCAGTGTGACTTTATATAGTTAGCAAAATGTCTAAAGCGCTCCAACGCCATTGTGTTTCAGTGCACTTGCAGGAAAGACATGGTGAAAATTTCTATGGATATCTTTGTGAGGAAATTTCAACCAGACAGATACCAGCTTTGGAAACAAGGAAAGGATATATACACCATTGATCACACAAAGCCTACTCCAGAATCCACCCCTGAAGTAAAAGCATGGCTGCAGCGGAGGAGGAAAGTAAGAAAAGCATCCAGGAGGTAATGATCCTGCCCCCAGCCCATCCCACTCAGTTAAAATTTAAAGACTATTTATTTGCTTTTCTTCTGTTTATTCATTGTATGTTTATTTACTATCTTAACTGAAAATTTGAGGCAAAGTATTTGTAATTCTTTGGAAGTGCAATAAATAAATAGAATGTAAAAAGAGAGGTCTGTTGTGTTGCAGCGCATGAGAAATAGAACACTTGTAGAACTACTAAACCCCTTAACACGAGTGTATTTAAAGTCTTATGGGTGCTCTCTCCTTATTTTTGTCAGCTTCAATAACTTGGTTTCCAACTTTTTAATTTGGCTACCGATTTTGACTTTCGGTAGTTCTCTTCTTCACTTGTCAAACATCTCATATTACTCTTCTTATTGGGGAGCCTATATTTTGCTGCATTATACACACGGCTTTGTGCTTTCACAAGTTGTCAGTCAGAGCATGTGGTGTTTCTGTAACGTGGTTGTCTCTGTGTAATGTATCCTGCATTCCATTTTTGTGGTCTTTAGGCCTGTCATGGTCATCTTGCTGTCTTTTTTTTTTTTTTTTTTTAAAGAAAAAAACCTTTAATTTTAATTTCTGATCTAGGCATAAAATTCATTTTTGTATCACGGTATCTTGCTGTCTTAAAACACATTAAACAGGAAGTGTGTTTTGTCGCTCAGGTCCTCAGGCAACCTTTTTAGGTTCTTATTTTCCAGGTTTGTGTTGTAGTTTTCTCTCCAATATTACTCATTGTTTTTCTTTCAGATTGTAAAACTAATATTTGTGCATTGGAGAAAATTTGTAAAATAAGGAAAAGAATAATGAAGGAATCCCAAATCACCCATTACCTCACAATCCAGAGATAACCAGTGTTAACATTTTGTATATATCCTTTACATATATATTTCTTATTTATTATATAATATTATATACCTTTCCAAAATTGGGGCCATGCTCTATTAGTAATTTGACCAGTTTTGTGTTTTTTCATGTAAATGAATGATTTGCTACAAAATCTTTAATGCCTGCATGTATTTTATCTAATCTCCTATAGTTGGACCTGTAGCTTCTTTCCAGTTTTTAGCTACTAACCAAAAAACACTATAATTTTAAATCTTTGCCCACACTTCTGATGTTTATTTTCTGACTCTCTCTCTGTCTCTCTCTCTGTTTTTTTTTTTCCCCTGACAATTTATTTTCTGCTATTTTAGAATGCTAGTAAGTGGAGGAACCTTAAGAACATGGAATCAAACCAGCATTTTATGAGATATACTTGCACAGAATTAGTAGCAGAGTTACAACCCAGATGTTCTTATTTCACCCTATAGTCTACAGCAGGAATTTTCAAACTGTCACTTTTCAAATAAATTTAATAGGTTAGGAACAGCATTTTAAGATTAGGAAGTTAAAGAGAGTAAAATGTACTGTAGTCCTTCCCATGAGGTGATGGTAAGTATTAATTCATGACATGTGTGAGCATCGGTGTACATGCATATCGTGTCATCATCTGAAGTGTATAACTCACTGTGGGTTGCACTCCGAAAAGTTTGGGAAACACTGATTTGGAGAATAAAGGTGCTAATCCACATTGCCAAAAAAAATTCGCTGCAGGAGACAGTAGTCAATCTTGAGTTCAGTGGCCAATAGAATGTCTTGAGAATTATTCTTTAATGGACAGAAAACACAACACTAATTTAGGTGTATAATCTGGTCTCTTAGTTACTAATCACAGTGGTCCTTGTTGGTTGACATTGCACACGGATATGACATCGAACAGTGAAGTGTCTTTCAGTAGGTTAAAATAATCAGTGGTCTTTACTTACCCAGTTAGAAAGCCTAATGTTGAGGGGCTTATTATACTCACCTTTGTGGCTTGATCATTGAGTTTGCTGATCTCCCTTAAGTAATATACTGTATCTGAGGAAGTCTAATTAAGGGAATGTTTCATTGAATTCTCAAAGAGATGTCAACCTTTTAATTTTATGTGTGCTGTGCTATTTATAATGTAATATTCCACATAGACCACTGCATGGGTTTCAGTAAAAGTGATGATGATACCAGTACTGTTACTTCTAGCAAATTTACCAAAGCCAGGTTATCCCTGGCTACTCCCTTTATCTTATGGGGACTTCCTATAGGATAACACTAATGTCGTGTGTGTGTGTGTGTGTGTGTGTGTGTGTGTGTACATGTATTCTGAAATACATGTTGATTTAATTTGACATAGCTCTTCTCAAATGAAAGTGTTAGAAATGTTGTGTCATTTACAGAAGGCATCTACAATAAAGCTATGAAGTAACTTGCTGAAAAATACTGGAAGTGGAATAATATAAAAATGGTGTCCACTCTGAAAATAAATAGTACATTGATATAAGATGTTAAACACATGTGGTTAGCCTTCTTCCTCTTGTAATTTCTTTAGCTAATGATAATTTGACATGTAATCTTAATGATTTTCATGTATATTTCAGAATTCTGTGAAACTCAGGGAAATACAGTCACCAGGTCACCTTGGAATGTAAATAATCTACTAAAATTTTAACAACAGCTTTATGGAATCACTTTGTTTCCTGTTTCTTCATTATCTAAATAATGTTTGATTTTATCCCTGTGTCATGATTTTTCACTTTATTTTTTATGTTAAGCTTTCTTTTAATATTATTATAAAGTTTTGTTGTTGTTGTTGTTTAGTCGCTCAGTCCTGTCTGACTCTTTGAGACCCCATGGACTGTAGCCCACCAGGCTCTCTGCCCATGGAATTCTCCAGGCAAGAATACTGGAGTGGGTTGCCATTTCCTTCTCCATATAAAATTTTAACAGTGACTTTTTCCCAATAATATTTTAATAATCAATTATATAGAGTTGTTTTAATTTTAATTTTTAGTAAATTGTTATTAAAACTGTTGTTAACATTTCAATTTCAAATTTGATTTATTAATCATGAAGATTATCGTTGTATATTGCAATTAAAAACCAGTTTTTTATTCTGTTTTTTCAATAAGTGAAAATAATGCTTATGTATGTATTTTCTTCTGTCCTTCGCCCACATTGTGTTCTGACTACAGCTTTTCTTGTTAATAGCTTCCAGTGTACTAGTTCTCACTCTAAGAGGCCTAAGAATGAGGAGGATGAGAAACTGTCAGCTACAGTTGGTGGGACAGAGGGACCCACTCCTGACCCAGATCCATATGATCTCAAGGATGATGGAAAGCCAGAAGAAGCAGTGAAACTAGCAAACACAGAAGCACCTTCAGAGAAAGAGACCTCTGTTAGCAGGATGCAATTGGATCATAATTTGTCAGATAATATCAGATTCTCGGGTGAGAAACTAGCTGATTATATTTCACGTAGTAGTAGTAGGTAGTTGCTGATCTTCCTTAAGTCTGTGTTTTCTAGGACAGATATCTTACTTTTCCACAGAGCTTAACCAATAAGGTATCTAAAGCTATGGGGTAACTCAACTAGAAGGCCAAGGGAGTGTTATAAAAGCCAGAAGTACCACTGTTCCGGGTAATGAAATTTTAAGACAAATAGCCAGCAGTACCTATTTCATTTAATGAAAAAGTAGATTCTAAAATGGAAAAGAAAAAAAATTTTTTTGGTGCAACTCAATTTACGATATATAATACATTTTTGGAAATCTTCTCGAATTCACATGGAATAGAGAAAACCAATTATAGATAATTCTTTGCAGATTCTTAGCTTTTGAATTAATTTTAAAAAGAAAATAAAGATTAAGGTTTTACAAAGTAACATCAAAAATCATTCAATCCTGTGACATGGCATATATAGTCCCCTGGCTGTTTCTCTGTACCAAAGCCATCATCTATAAATCTCAACTCATTTGCTCTTCCCCTTTTTTGTAGCATATTTCTTTGAAACTGTTTTTATGCTTTGCCTCTTTAATACTTGTGGGAGATTTTGCCTTTTTTCCAATGGAGCTTATTGGTAATTCCTGTCTCACTCTCATTCCCCTCATCTATTCTGTCTTTCTGTTGTGGGGCTCTCCCAAATCCAGACATCCGCCTGCTTTCTCTTCACTCAAGATGTGTTATCTTTGTCTGGACTGTTGTAGAAGGTGCCTCCTTCCCATTTTTCCAGTGTCCACTCTAGTCAGTTCTCCATATGGCAATTGTAGTGATCCTTTTAAAAGACTCAGCTTAGGTCTTGGCCCTACCATTTTCTTGTTCTTATTCCACTTAGAGTAAAAGAAAAGTCCTGATCATTGTTCTAATTAATCAGTCCTTGGCTTCTTCTCCATTCTTATTTCCTTTTGCACTTGAAATGTCTGTGTTAATAGAGTTTAAATCATAGACATTTTCCCAGTGAGTTTGTATTTAATTGGATATCTAGACAAATAAATATGTAATTCCTATCTAGTGTGCCAAGTACCACTATAGAGATGGCATACCAAGGAAAGACACAAAATAGACAGGAGGCTGAACTGGCAAGGTTTCTGGGAGTGGGTGATATCTGAACTGATTCATGATGAATGCATGGAAGATAGAAAGTGCAGAAGGTAGGAAAGTGCAGAGACCAGTTATGCACTATACACATGCTCAGTTGCTAAGCTGTATCCGACTCTTTTGCAATCCTGTAAACTGTAGCCCACCAGGCTCCTCTGTCCTGGGATTTCTCAAGCAAGAATACTGGAGTAGGTTGCCATTTCCTTCTCTAGAGAATTTTTCCAGCCCAGTGGTTGAACCTTCATCTTCTGCATTGGCAGGCAGATTCTTTACCTCTGAGCCACCAAGGAATCCCTAGTTATGTAATGTGTACAGATATTTCTTTGTTGTCCCTCACCATAGTTTTTTTTTTTTTTAAGTACACTGGATTAAATTAATTACTTTACGAACTACCGAGTGGTTTAAGCCAAGGATATGCAGCTTTATTTGTTCTGTTGCTACCTGGTTTCTTGGATTTTGACTTCTGGGTTTTAAAACCCAACAGAGCATTTAATAGATTTGGGAAAAAAAAGATTTGGCATGGTGCAGTTTGAGCTACTATGCAATAGGTGAATAAAATGATGCACACTTGTGTATACATAAGAGAAAATGGTAGGGCCAAGACCTTCACTTCATGTAGAAGTAAAGTATTTGTGATATTCCTTTCCGTTTTGTGCTGTCCTTGTACTGTGCTGGATTAGTTTAAGAAACCGTTTTTATTGGACCTGCACAGTTTTACATGTGTTTTACATGGACTTGTACAGTTTCACATCCTCTGAGTTGGAATGTTTCATCAGTAACATATATTGGAATTAAATTCTTATTTTTTTGAAAGATCTCAAATTGCAATTGCTTAGGTAAGTATTGTTATTGCCAAGGCTTTGGACATTGGTTTACAGTGGAACCTCTTTTTGATCCCTTATTTTGTCAGTAAATATATTATTTTGCTGCCTTAGCAACTACAAAGGCTGCATAGTGCTTTGGTGACCTTTCCCACTGGGGTCTTCGGTGGAAATTTAGAGGGGATGTTTGATGGTAGACATTTAGTTGAGAGCAGTTTACCAATTCTTAGCAATAATACATTGTAACATTTATTAACACGCTCTTGTTTTACTCCTTAGGAAACGTCTGCCTAAGTGCATCTGTAGCAGAGAAAATCACAGCTGAGGATGGCCAGACTTGTGCTGCAGTTCCACCTTCAGATCCCAGTGAGGCTGACGAGTCCATATCTAGTGGCCAAGTGACATCCGAGGAATCAGAGCCACGCAGGCTTCCGTGGCCAAAGTCGCCTGAGTCACACTCCTCTGTGGCAGAGAGCAGCAGTGCTTTGACTGAGGGAGAAGAGAGTGATGTGGAGAGCCGTGGCAGCGGCCTTGAACCTGGGGAAGTCCCGGCGGTCTCCAGTGGCAAGAGAAATGGCTTCAAAGTCCCCAGTGTATGTGACGGTGTCCATTTTTACCATATTTATTGTGTTGTCAAGGCTCTTTTTGGAAACAGCATGCTATGCATTGGAAATCTTGCTGTAGGGTGGAAATAGCATCTCACATTTATAGGTCTTAATCTTTTTCCTTCAATGACTGGGAGGTAAACTTTCTGTGAGCTCTGGCTAACGTGGTGATAATTCAGAGAACATGGAACTTTTGGCCACGTGTTGGGGTTTGATTTTCTTTCTTAGTTTTTCTAACATTAAACTCTTTGTTTTGAGATCTTTGTAGATTTATATGCAGTGGTAAGAAGTAGTGTAGCAAGATCTTATACACCCAGTTTCCCCCAATAGAACCTCCTTGGAAAACTAGGATAGGATAGCACAGTGATACTGACATCGATATAGTCAAGACATAGAATGGTTGTGTCACCTGCAATATTAGCCAGACTGGAAATAATTCACCTGCAAGACTCTCACCTCTTTCTGCCAGTGCTTAATACCTCTGGGTCCTAGGCTTCTCTCAACCTCTATTTTAACATTAGGGCTCTTCTGGTTATGTTTTTCCCTGACTCTTGCCTCATGGACTCTGAATCTAGGACCAGGCTGAACCTTCTGTCTCTACCCATGCTGGAACCAGGCTTTCTGCCACTTGGAAAGCTCAAGATTCCTCTTGATTTCCAACTTCCTTTTTCTAACCCTTTACAGAAGGCCTCCCTGTTTGTCCTATGTCCTTGTATGATGTTAATATCACATGCTTCCAGCATGAACTGATTGTATCAGCCAAGCTACAATTGTGTGTTGTGATTGTCATAATTTGGTAACCTCTTTTGACCTGAACAACTTGGTAAAGGAGTTCAGGTGGATGAATAAGGCAAGCCTCAAATATTTGAGCTGATAAATTGTGCTGGCTGCTGAACAGACCCAGTTCTGGATTGCTCCTGTTCATTTTAGCTCAGAAGAATCCTTTTGTATCTTTGAGTAGCAAGAGAGAGTAAATAAAGACATCAATTTGGAATACCCTATTTATAAGTAGTTTTAAAATGTCCAATACAATATAGATAATCTCCTAATTTCCCCCAATAACTTATCATTTTTTATGCATGATTGTCCTACTGAACTATAAAATATTTTTCAGAAACACATGAGAAACAGAAAGTTATAATCTAATTTACTTGAAAAGGTGGCTGAGAAATTTGAACATAGTATTCACATAACAGTAAACAAAATTTACAACTTAGTTTCACGTAGGGATTATTTGTAGCTGGACAGATACTGGGATTCTAGACTGGTGAATAAGTCAAATGCCTCTTTATATTTGGTCTAATTCTTTAAACTAGAATGGAACTGAAAATAACTTTTCTGTTCCCTTACTGTTAACCTTCATCTTTATCATTTCAGTGAACAAAGCCTGACTGCCCAGGAAGGCAAGTGTTGTTGTTGAGGGATAAGGACTTGGTTTGCACTTGTCAGAAATAGCTGTGTGGTGGTCTTTTCTCATCCCATTTTGTCAGACTTCTAAGTCCTTCTAAGTCATACAGACCTGGTTCATTTTTGTGTAGTGTGACCAGTGTTTCTTAGTGTTGAGTGTAACACTGTGTGTTAGCTGATAGCAGTCAGCTTTAGTCATCCTCAGGAAACATTAAGTGAACCAAACATGTTCACACATCACTTGCTATTCCTGCTGTCCAAAATGCCCTTCTCTCAGAGAGCTAAATGTGCTGCTTTCTCATTGCTCTCAAGACTCCACTCAAGATGTCTTCACATCAAAAAGGCCTTCTCTGATGATCCCACATAAAATAACCTCCTCCCCATCTCCTTCTATTCTTTGTCATGCTTTTTTTCCCCATTATTACTGCATATTTACTTAATAGTACCTGATATTTTGGGGCTTCCACAGTGTCTCAGTGATAAAAGAATCCGTCTGCCAAGCAGGAAGTGCTGGTTTGATCCCTGGGTCTTGATGATCCCCTGGAAAAGGAAATGGCAACCCACTCCAGTATTCTTGCCTGGGAAATCCCATGGAAAGAGGAACCTGGCTGGGCTACAGTCCACGGGGTCACAAAGAGTCAGACACGACTGAGCAACTGAAACAATAGCAACAACCCAATATTTACTTTTTACTTGTTTATTGCCTCTGGCCCACTCCATCTATATGGCACTCCTTGGAAGCAGGGACCTACTAGAATTTTTTCCTGCTCTAGCTACTCTTAAGAGCAGTGTAGCACATAGTAAGGGTTTAATAAATATTTCTTATTTTTGACTAAATTATAATTTCTCACATTCATTTTTAGGTATTATATACCAGAGGCAAATCTCATCCTCTATCATTACTTTGTGAATCTTGCTTTGATTAGAATGTTGTCACACATTTTCTCATAAGCCTGTTTATGTGTCAGATGTCAGCATAGTTTCTTTCCTTCCGGGCGCTGCTGCTTCAGCTTTTAGGGAAATTTATGAGACTCCTTTCTTTTGCATCAACCACTGATGCAAACCCACTGGATTTGAACTCTTTCTCTAACTAGCAACTCTGCCATTTTTTTTTTTTTTAAATTGTATGGATGAGAAAGCTTGTAAATAGAGTCTCTCTGAAAGATGTCAGGATGCAAATGACTTTTTCCTCTACCTTTGAAAGAAAAATGTAGTCCAGGCAGCTCATAACAAAAGATTTTACATAGAATTTTAGTGGTTTCAGGATGACAGTTATGTGCCATATTAAACAACAACTTTTGATTTCTTATTTGGTCCTCAGAGAAGTGAGGATTCATTTTCCAGTGGAAGGAACAGTACAGATTCACTTTGGCTGTATTGCCTTCTGAAGACAGAAAGCAAAATAATCTGCTGCACAGTCACATGTGACCAAATGCCATGGTCCTGGATTGTTACGAATATATAATCCTAAATTTAAATTATCTTTAAAGGACTTTTGAAAACTCTCTAACATCCGAGTTTATTATAGGTTTGCAAAGCGTACCCTGCACTACAGATAGTGCTTTAATATGAAATGGAAGGATAGTTCAGTGATTCCTCTGTCAGTAAAATTACTAACAGAATGGCTCCTATTTCTTTTGATTTTGCCGTTTAAATTTCTTTAATAAACTTAATTTCTCAGGTGGTAAAACAAGTACAAGAGTTCTTTATAATTTTTTTTGTGGTAAGTCATTGTGATGATAGTTTTTTCTTTTAAAACAAGTCTTTAATGGTGAGTATTTCTCCCCTATTCATGTTCTGTAACCAGAGAACAGAAGGTGAAACCAAGACTGCTAAAAGTTGGCGCCACCCACTTAGTAAGCCTCCAGCAAGATCCCCAATGACCCTGGTGAAGCAACAGGCAACAAGTGATGAAGGTGAGCTTGGGTTTTTTTTTCCGGTGTTTATTCCATATAAACTGTATAATATTCAGAATTTATTCTGTCAGTTTGTTGTAACAAACTTTTCTAAAAAAACTGCCTGGGAGAGAAGAAATCTGCTTAAGTGGCAATTATATACCTTAAGGAGATCCTGAGTAACACACAGTTTATTTAGAACTTAGATTTTAGGGATACATACTTGCTTCACATAATCAAGCAGTGTTAAAGTCTTCCTTTTTTATTTGATGGGTAAATTGGTTGTTTCTGACATTTGCCTTAAGACCCTCCAGAAGAAGTTGACATCCTTTCTCTCAGAGTATCAAATCATGGAATTAACATGCTTTGTATTTCTTTTCGCGTTGCCTCTGATTTTAACTTGACTCCTTTAAATTTATCAACACTATCTGAGTCAGAAACTACATGTAGTACTTCTGTATCCTGTTAGACCCAGTGTGTCGTGGAACATCCTTCCTCAGTGACTATACTAATGAGGCTTGGCATGAAGTCATTTTATTTACACCCAGCTACTATTCTTAGATGTAACATTTGTCTGTGTGGTTTACCTAGTTGCCCTCTTTACCTCTCTTTCTCTCTTTTTCCAAAAACGTTTTTTTTCTTTTTCTTCAGTCAGACCACTGATCAACTGTTTATTCCTTCCAAGTGTCTCATAGCTTCATAAGGTCTATTTTTTTTTTTTTAATCCCTAAAAGGATCAGTTGAAGCAGGTGTTCTGTAAAAAGCCCTTCTTTGAGATGTTATCCTTTACTGGTAGAAACTGTTAAGGTCCTTGTCTGTGGGGGTGCTGTCAAGGGAATAACATAAATCTTGGGTTCAGACTTCTATCTAGTTTAAATCCAATTTATCAGAGTACATATCCTTAGCAGATTTTTTTCCCTTTTATTCACTGTCTTCTTTTATGCCTTATGTTTAGTCAGGAAAAAAAAGTTAATCAGTGTAGGGATCAGATAATGATGGTAGCAGTGTCTATAACACCAGCTCAGGATGGAATTCTGCCTTGAATAATAAAAGTAATTAAACACATTTGCCTTTATTTCCATATGTCATCATGTTCAGTTTTTCTTTCTCCAACTTTATTGTATCCAACCCAAACCATTTTCTCCTTATTGTCAGAATAAAGAATTGTTCTGTATAAAGTAATTAATACTCACTGTACCTTACTCATGAATGTTCATGACCCTTCCCCATTATAGCCTATAGCAACAGCACAGCTTCTTGGAAGGGAATGTGCTGTCCTGATACATAAGGAAAACTGCCTTCTCCTAGTTCTTTATCATCCTGGGAAGTTTATTTCCATGTGAATCATCGTAAATTGGTCCAGAGTTTCTCCGTGGAAAACAGTTCTGATTTTGATCATTATAGCTTGCAAAATTTCTAACTGAATTGGTTTAACAGGGAGATATCAAAGGTCTGAGGTTAAATATCTTGCTGATACACTGGTGATTGCAGCGTTTGCAGCAGTTTCACCCTCTATTTTTATATGTTGAGAACTGCTGGGGTCCTCTGGGGATTTCTGAGAATTGAAAGGAAAAATCAGAAAATTATAGTGACGACTAAAGATTTTTTTACAAGCTTCTAAGTTGAGAATGGAGAGTATTCTGTGTCCTGGGGCAAATTGTTTTTTGGGCACTTGAATGTTTTTCTCTTAGCCATCTCCCTTTGTGTCTTGTACAACTGGGAGTGTCATTATTAGAAAATGATGAAGAGTGGTGAATGAGTGCTCATTGGGAGCACACGACTATAAATCTAGCTTCTTTTGGAAATTTCCTGCCGTAACTACTGGACTCTTTCTACACTCCTCTTACAGATGTAGGTATGTATGCCAGGCAGGAGCATGAGTAGATCTAGATTGGAGCATCTGAGAAATTGCATCTCCAAACAGCAGTGTTCCTTGCTGGTAAATGAACCTTTCTGTGGTGAGGCTGGCATTTGACTCCAGAAAAGCAGCAGAGGGGAAGGATACTGATCCAGCACCTCTGGGAGCTTTTGGGCAGCTGAGAGCTAAAGAGTCCCCTCTCAGCTGTGCCTTTCGAAAGACAATACAGTGGTTCTTTGATATTCAAATGGCCTGAAACTGAAGAAATCATCCTAATTGGTGGTAGATCCAGTAATTACAGGATCAGCAAGGATTTCCCGACTCTCATCCTCTTCTTTCCTAGAAGAAGCTTTTCCATACTTAGCAGAAAAACATGAAGGCCTGAACAGAGGGGGATACCTAAGAAAGGAATGATGTTTTAGAATGTAAAATTTTTGCATAAACTAGTATTTAATTTTGTTCTTTTTGAGGGGAGTGGTGAAAAATTATCTTAACTGAATACCACGTATGTATTATTTATAGTTTAAAAGCAGTTACTAACCTGTCTCTAGTTTTCTTTTAAGTGTTTTTCTCTTACCTTTTTCCTTAAGTCAGGCAGCTGCACAAGATGATCCTGAAACATGGATTGATAGTCTCTGTGTTTTCCTGCTTTTTAAGCTAATTGTACAATGTTGAATTGAAACAGCCTTGAAAGAGAAGTGCTTGGCTGGGTGGTTCTAGTTTTGAAACATTCTGGATATGTACCCATTCTCCCCTTGTGATATGAGTACTGATAATGGTATATTCCTGCAGGCTGATCTCAGAGCTTTGTGGTTGACCGTCTGTAGGAAGAGGGGAGTGTCTGCAGCATGAGCGAGTCAGGCAGCTCTGAGGACGGTGCTCTAGCCTGGCCTCAGCAGACACTGAGAGTGGGGATGGGCCCTGGGGTGGGGCTGGGGGGGCCGCTCAGGAATCTGCCACAGTGGTGTTTTTCTTGGGTTGCTAAAGACGCCAGCTCAAATCTCACAGATTTCCCTTAATGTTACAGCTTCAATACAGGATAAATGACTGGAAGACTGCTCATAGTCCACTACTGACTTCTTACTGCCTTCATTTCCCTCAACTAGTCAGTGAGGAACCTCTTTTCCATCCATTCACATAACTTTTCGTTTTCCCTTCTGAGTATCTGTGCTGCTTTATGCTTCCATGCACTTCCTTGAACTGTTGCTTTACCTGTGATGCCTTTTTCCATCTTGGCACCATTCTCATGTGTTTCTTAGCACTTTTTCCTCATTTCTCTTACTTCTCTTCTACTGTCCTATTCCATCTATGCTTAGTTAGCTCGAGCATCTGGCTTGTCCACACACCTTACATTGTGTTTCATTATTTGTCTTTGTGTCTCTCTCCTCACTCTCACTCCTTTCCTCTTGTCTCTGTACTCTGGGTCCCAGGTGAGTATGTGGCTTAACCCACCTGTGGGTCCAAAAGCAGGAAGTCCCAGGTGATTAGTACCCTTGAAATCAACCATTATAAAAGATTGTGAAATACCATGATGTAATATATGCTGTCATGTTAAAAGTAAAACTGAAATTCTTGTCTCGGAAATATTCTCTATATAAGTAGATAGTAAAACATACTGTTTTAATTAGCTGGGGATGTCACCTGACTCAGTCAGGTCCTCAAAGTTAATATGAAGCTGACCTGGCATATAGATGTGGTCAGTGCTTTGGGGACCTGAGGGCCCCCAGAGGAATGATACCCCACTGGGACAGTTGCTTAGCTAGGATCAGTATATATGTAGATGTGCGTGTGTGTGCATGTGCGTGCACTTATGTGTATTTCCTTCCCAGTTTAAAGGCATTTTTATTCAATTCCTTTTCACTCATGCATGCTTTTTCTGACTAGAGTTTTCATCAGCAACCCTTTGTGCTGACACATACTCAGGGCTTTTCCTAAACTGATGTTAGGCTAATAAACATTGTACACTGACGTCCATATTCTGACCATACATTTTATTAATATCCATCCCCCTGCCTTACCCTTTATGGTCCCTTGTTTGGTCTTTGAAGTTCCCTTCCTGCACACACATATGCATTTAAAAAAAAAAACTGAAGTATAGTTGATTTACAATTTTCAGGTATCCTGTATGTGTTTATTTTTCACTTAAATTTTTTTTTTTTACTACTTTGTTTGCAACATAAAATTTCCAACTTTCCCTACTTTTGACTTACAGTATATTCACTGCTTATGTACTTATTGTGCACATAATCCCCTTGGTGAAGTGATAAGGCTAATGTTGTTTCTGAAGCAACTGTAAAGGACAAAGCTCACAAATACCAGGAGAGCTTATGAATGTGGCCGTGGCAGATGCAGTAATCTCCTCGTCTGTTGGTGGTGATTTGAGTTGACATACTCATGCTGTCTATGGAGATTCTGCTGAAGATTTAGAAAGTTAAGTTGAAAGTTTATAAGAAAATATACAAGATTGTTATTAGTGATTTTAGTTCTCCTTTTCTTTTGTATGCTGATACCTTTTCAAACTTTTATGATAAACACATTTATATTTGGGCAAAAATATATTTTAAAGAGATAGAATATGAACGTGATGAACTGGATTACCAGATAATTCACCAGTTATATAACACTCAGAAGTAATTGATAAATTAGGCCGTCTATCTCTTTACTTGCACAGAGAGGCAAAATCACGTGAAGGGTTGTCTTTCTCCCTGTGTGTGCTCATAGTCAACTGACTCTAGTGTTGGGTTAGCTGCGTGACCCTCCACGCTTCGGGGCCTGTGCTTACCAGGAGGGGTTACCACTGCACCTCCCACACGGAGCGCTTGGGAGGGTTAAAAGAACATGGACAAGGCGCTCATGTGTCTGGCACATGATATGATGTTTGTTATCCTCATTGTAATATGATTAGGAGGAGGAGGAGGAGGAGGGTGATATCTGAGCTTTCAAGAAATGAGGGGAATCCGGAGGGGATTCAGGGTGAAAGGACATTCTGGTGGGTAGGAGAGAGTGAATGTTGCACTGTTTGGGGGCAATATGCCAGGACTAGAGTGGAGGCTGGGAAGTCAGAGCTAAGACCTCATAGGCTCCTCTAGACACATAAAACTGGACTCTTAAAAGCCTAAGCCCTTAGTGAAGGGTGTACTAGGGAAAAACTAAAAACCAAAAC